GGGGTGGGTGGGGGGGGGGGGGGGGGGGGGGGTCAACTTACAAACGTCTGTGATATTTGGCGACTTTATGAAGGGATATCTTCGATCGTTTTGATTGTATTGTTTCTGGCAAGTTTACTAATTTTTACTGACGCATTTTCTACCAGTGTCGATGGCTATCACTTAACAGGTCACATGGAAGGGTTAATGCTACAGACTTAAGAAGTGTGCCCAGATATAATTTAACACTTTAAGACATCAAGAACCAAACCAAAAATTAGAGTAGGAAATCAAGTATTGGTTTATTTACTTATCTCCAGATTTCATGTACTGTCAAGTTCTTCAAGGGCTGCATTTTTTTCTCAATATTTTTAGAATGCACATGTCATGTTATTATTTATCCTTCGCGCAGTGAAAATGCCACTTGGGGTGGAAAACACAGATATTCTGATTCTCAAAGGTGCTTTTTAAAGCAACCATTAACATTGCAACTGATCCGCAAAAGGTGCTGGTCTCTAATAATCTTGGGACCTTATTAACGAAAACTATCTAGGTTAAGATTTCTCCTTTGAATTGCTTCATTTTCATATTTGAGACGAAAATAAGATCCGGTCCATGATTCATTAAGCCTTTCACTGATGTTTAGCGTATACATTTTAAATAGGCTTTCGCTTAAAGAAAACCGGCTGTGCCATATCACTTATCACCGTAGTTAAAGCTATAGTAATCAAAAGTGTCGTACATGTAAGCATGAACTACATTTAATATGGGTGCTTTCAGACTGGAGAAACCAATGATACAATCAAGCAATACATGAGGATTGACGATACCCATAAACCTGAAAGGGGCTTAATGTAAATATTTCATGTCGTGATCTTTATTTATTGACCTGGTATAAACTACTGCTTCCAAAAATAAATTCTGATACATAAAAATGATTAAGGCTGGAAAGAGCAAATCTTTTGTTTTGGGCTAGTCGTTTTTCTTAAGAGGTGTATACATAGAAAATATAAAATTAGAACTTATTATGTTAAGAAATGATATTTTGGACCCATCTTGCTGGAAGCAAAAAGGAAAGGTACAAATTTAGAAAAAGGCTCTTCACTTTCACGAAAGCACATGATCTTAATATCAACAATATTTGTTTTTGTCAAACTCTTTAAGGCTTCAATATTGGTGTCTAAATTGTTTAAAAAACGACATTTAGGGCAGTGAACATTCAAAAGCTTTCGGGTAACCGAGAGCGTCAGAACACGATGAAGACGCGGTGGTTTTCTGTCGTTTTCGCTGTTCTGTTTGCTGTGCTCCTCTTTGATATCTGCAGTTGTGCTGTACTCCCCAAAGATACAGCGCTAAAGCTGAAAGATGTTCGTGCTGAGGAAACTAAAGCCCTCGGAAATGGTGCTTTAGCTGGAGAAAGTGACAACTTGGCGAAAGAAGAAAATACTGACGAGGACGAAGAAGACGGAGGTAAGGAAGACGTTGAAGACTTTGATGAAGAAGATGAAGATGAAGTTGCAGATGATGGCGAAGAAGACGTTGAAGACTTTGATGAAGAAAATGAAGGTGAAGTTGTAGATGATGACGACGAAGAAAATGTCGATGAAGAAAATGAAGATGCTGATGATAGCGAAGACACAAACGACGGATGGACTGAAAATGAAGGTGAAGATCATGATGATGAAGACGAAGAAGAAGGTGATAATGATGTTGACGATAAACAGGCAGATGGAGAAAACGATGAAGAAGAGGATGAAGAAGACGATTTCATGGATGAAGAAGATGACGCAATTGAGGATGAAGAGGACGGTGACATACCCAAAGAAATGAGTGATATCAACGAGGATGAGAATGATTTTTCTGACGAGCCAGCACTGAAGACGGCAAATGATGAGCGAAAAGGTACGTTACGTGATTATAGTTAAGAATGGTTAATAACTCAATAACACTCCAATAATTAATAACAGATTTGGATCTGTTAATAGCGGGTTTTTTCTTCTTCAAAAGGAGTATACGCTCATAATTAATTATTCGGTAGAGTTCTCCATTTGTGATTGGCTTAAACTGACCTGCTAGTTATGGATGGAAAGGAAAAGAACAAACAAAACAATAACAAACAAAAAAACAATACAAGTGGACGAGGAGACCAAGATATCGAACTACTTGGTAATAGTAAGATTTTCCAATAAATATCTCGAAACCAAGAGCTTCTTCTTTCTTGTCGAAAAAAAACTAAAAGTTTGTTACAAAGGTAATAATATCATCTGCTGCTTCAAATCATCCAAACGTCAACATGTTCTCCTCTCGTAGTCTACTAGAAATGGAAATGACTTGTTTACTTTGACATCAAGCGCACTTTGCAATGTGTCAACTGGTGGTGGACTAGGCATATAGGAATCCAATTTGTTGATCGTGATATATTTAAAGTGAAAACACCGAACACCGAAAATGACTGTTATGTGCACATCTCTTTGCAGCGATTCGACTGAATACGAAAGAAGTTGAGGACCCTAGGCGACGTGGTAGAAAAGGACGAAGGATTAGACGTGGCAGGCGAAGCAGGCGTGGCAGAAGAGGGAAACCAAGTAGACGGAGAAGACGTGGCAGGCGAGGAAGACGTGGTAGAAAGGGTAGACGAGGAAGGCGTGGTAGGCGTGGCCGAAAAGGTAGACGAGGCAGACGGGGAAGACGTGGCAGAAAAGGAAGAAAAGGCAGGCGTGGCAGGCGTGGTAGACGTGGCCGGCGTGGCAGGCGTAACAGACGTGGTAGACGTGGACGAGGCGGAATAAGGGGACGCGTCAAGGTAATAGTAAGGCCTCGACCGCCACAGCCACCTCCTCCCCAACCTTCTCAGCCTACAACACCAGTTGGAACGCCAGCCACTCCAGGTGGCACCGGATCACCCGCCCCAGGGGGAACCGAACCAACTCCCGGAGGGAGTGTTCCTGGAGGAATGCGATAGGTGCCGACTGTATCAGCTGATCAAAAATACAAAACAAGAATTGCACATTTTATCGATATTCTGGATGCCATGATAGGTTTTAGTTAAAGTTTAAATGCTTGTAATATTGAGTTTCTATAACATCAAGAGAAGATTAATAAATTTGAACATATTTGTTTAGTCATTCTAAAGAGTTGTGTTCTTCGTTTACCTCAGTTAAGACATTCCATTAATCAATGAATAAGGAAGGGTTATAATGATAACAGTTCCGTAGATTTCAAAACATGGAAAGAAACAAAAAAGGGGGGAGGAGGGGCCTCTTTTCCCAGGAGTACTAGTTCTGGGAGATCCTAGTACGAGTTTCGAGCCAAATTAGTGTACTTTAGTTTGTCACTTGTTTTAAAAAAATTCATTCCTGTCTATTGTTCCTTTCTCGAACCACAATAACACAATTAGATAATATGGACAGGATATATTCAAACAAAAGCATCGCAGGACAAAAAATTAATGTTTAAAATACATGTTTAGCACAATAGCGGTGGGCTGGAACCCCTTTTCACTTATTCCTACAGAACAATTTCAAAAGCATTGGGATTCCCTGACTCTAATGCGCAAGAAATTTAATCTTGCCAATAAAAAGCTGCACGATGGTCGGTTTCTGTGGCTTTTCCTCGTGCAACTTCTTAAATTCAATTTTTGGCTCACAGAGTAGTAGCTTATATTACAAATGAAGCAATACATTAGAACATCTTAATTAGAGAAAAATGTTCTTTAAATTCTTACCATTGTAAAGGTATTTTTGACGTTTCTTGAAAGTATGACGTCATAAAAGACAACTAATTGCAGTAACAACATTAAAAATTTGAAAAGCAGTGTTCAAAACGTTACAGACATTTTTGCTACACAAAAAAAAAACATTTATAGCGAAAACCCCATCTAAATCGGATAAAATGGCGTGAAGTTACAGCTAATAAAAGAAAATCAAATTTACCGCCAAATGACCATATATGGTCAAAATTACGGGTATTTTAAACGCGAGAAAAATGGATGCACTGGCACGGGAGCAAGGACAAAGTTACATAAAATCAAAAAAGTAATTTTTTTTACTCAGTGTATGTGGTGCTATGACGCATTTTTAGTCACGAAATACGTCATTGTGACGTTTTCGAGAAGGGTTTTTTGCAAACAAATTTTGATGATAAGATTAAACAATAACACTAGATTTTTAATGTTAATCTGAAAAGGAATAACAGCGTTCTTTGACACCATACTAGATTAAATGGAGAGAGAGGAACTGCTGCAAAAAAAGGACTTATAAGACGCACTATTCTAGATGAATTACACCATTCAGCATTTACTGTCAGTATCTGTTAAGGTGTTAAGCAAAATCACACTATTAATGCCGCAGAAAGGTTTGATAAGCCCTCAAGAAGCAACAGTCGTATTTTGCTAAAGCCCAGAGCAACTCTCCATGGTACGGTCTTCTGTCTCGTTTAGAACCCTAAAAAAGGTCTAATATTGTTCTTCAGATTTGTCTGAAAGCTTCTGAAAGTAACCTTTCAAGAACGTATTACCCGCAATATCTCCAAAAATATTGCTTTCAATACGCTTAGGAAGTAGTCTGAGAATCTGTCTTTTTCGGGTCGATCGCGCATGCGCTTTCCAACAAAATTGGTAAGCATTTCTCCCATAAAGAAGGAAAGGAAATCATGTTAAGTCGCTGGTAACTAGTAGAGCGCTTTACCATTCATTTAACCGTTGATTTCTTTAGATGACTTACTTCGTCACCTGGCTGATTAGATCCTGAACGAACTTTTATTATTGTCATGAGTTATGTGTCCTTTGACATGTGACAAATATTATAGTCGGCCGATTGAACGAATCGAAACCTTATTTTCTGTTACCAAGAGAAGTTTTTAAGGATCAAACGCAATGGATCATCGATAAAACCTCATGACGGGATTCCTTGGTTCAGGTTGCTCCCTACAGAGGCCTTTTACTTCTACTTCATTATTCTTCAATTTTTTAGCATCTGAGATATTTCCATTAAATAAGTTGGCTCAAAAGTTTGACCGATTTT